TACTTTGTAGGCCTAGTCAAAGTAATTAATAACATTTTAGTGACTTATTCGTAATAGTCAAATGGTAATGATTATGCTATTTATTTTAAGAATCGTTACGAAGTTAACAGTTAATATTCCACGGATATTAGAACAGAAACTGTATTGATCATAAACAAGAAAAACTATGTCACTGACCCGAAAGTAAACGTGTTTGTAATTTGGAACTGTAAACACAAACTTCCAAACCATAGGTAAATATTATTGATTCGGGCCAGTGACGTAATTTGTTTATGTTTATGATCCATACCGTTTCTGTTCTAATATTCGTGTAACTAAAGTCCAACAACTTCTGGTTTATTAAACGTGAGTTCGTTGATCTTCTGATTGCGATTGCACAATTAATTACCGAGAAACAAATTACAACTAACAAACGCTGCCTCCGAAACTTCTTAGAAGCAACGAATTAGGTAACCGTATCTCTAAGAATATAACAAGCTTAGTTTATCGAGTAAAAAATCATTAAAACACCAGCCGATGACATAACCCGTTATTCTTTGTTGTCGCGGCATCGCAGCGCGCCTAGCGGTTCGTCTGCAAACCAACAACACGTACACAAACAAAGCTGCAACCTTGAATCTCAAACAGCTGTTTCGCTGTTGTTTTATTTTTACTACTGGAATTGAACTGAACAGGCACGCCTGTGCCCTTAGAATATGGGATTTGAGGCTTTATAACTTTCTGAGATCAATACTCAATAGGCTGCTTGGCAAAACTAATCAATATGAATCTGAAACTCATTTTTATGCACACTAAATCAATAATTAGGGGCTACTTGTGGATATGTTAGATGTTTGGATTTATGAGTTGGTAAATAAATGAAAAAAACATGAAACAGAGGCCTTATCTTAGGTTTGCCCAGCTGCTGAAGTTTATTTTTTTACTATGCTGTGTGATGTAGTTAACAATAATTAATGTTAATACACACTATGGCAATTATTTAGTTTTTTGCAAATAACTACTGTATTTCCGTTTTTATGGATAGGCTACATTTAAATTTCCGGTAGGCATACAACATTTTTATATAAAATAGAAGAAAATAGCATTTAATTTACATAAAATGAAATAGTTTATTTGTATTTATAAACTACCAGCCATAGCTCTCAAAGCTATCTTTGTATTGGCATTTTACTGAATATTTTACAAGAATTATAGGTAATAAAGACCTCACAGTAAAATTGTTCCATAATAATCACCCTAATAAATACCAGAAACAATGAAAACTTTTTACATATTTTTAGACAATATGCTTTTAAATAGCCTGTTATAAGATACTGATGACTTGATAAAAAAGTTTAATTCATCAAATGATTAGCTGGATCAAGTTTTCTTATTAATCAATCTCAGTGATATTTACAAGTTACCACTGTTACCAGGAACTTATCGTTGTATTTAATTCTATAACAAATGATAAAATACCCCCGCCGCAGCAAACCTGCAGACTAAGCGAATTTCCATCTACACATCTGGAATTCCACTAAATCCTAGATCCAAGATGGCGGCCAAAATTTTATACCCAGTCAAAATGAAGTACTTACTACTTTACAATGATCTGACGTGGTCCGGAGTTGATATCTTAAGAAATGTAGAAAAAAGTAGGGGGGAACTCATTTAAAACTCACCCTGTAGGTATAACCAATTTTCAAAACTATTTTTTTAGAAGATTTTTTTTTAATATAGTTTTTGGTAAACAGTAACCCTATGATGGCATAATTGCAAGTAGAAAAAAAACTGAGAATTTCTATTTGAGAATTTCGGAAACAAATTAAAATTTCCAATTAGAATTTTCCTTAGAGATACCCCGGTACTTAAGCCTTAGTAGATAAATGTATTTAGAACAATTTGGTAGTACTATTACCTTATAGAACTTTAATTCAAAATCAAATCAAAATTGTATTGGGCCATTCAACATTAACATTTAAAAAATAGGCTAAGTCACTAAATTAATTAACAAATAGCGATCCTCTTGGGTCCTCTTGACGCACAATACTTAGTCAGTCCAAGTTCATAAAAGAGAAAAACATGCACAACACCATGCAGAAAACACTAGAATATATATAAAATAAGTAAATACCCCTGCCACAGCAAACTGCAGACTATGCGAATTTCCATTTACCTGGCTGGATTTCTAATAAAATATTCTCTTAGAAGTGTCAGATTTATTTCCTATTTAAATATCATTAATATTAATGAGTACCTACTTAGGTTTGCTGCTAGAGGGAATAAAATAGGGGGTTTTTATTGAAATATTAATAGCTTAGTATAAAGTAGGCTAAACAAAATTTCATTAAAATATGTCCATAGACAAGCAAGCTACAACACTGTATTTATTCTCCATAAGAATAACATGGTAATTATAAATTTTCACTATTTTGCGATTTTTCCGTAACCGTTAGGCATGCAACAATGCTTCAATATACTAAATTATTTGTTTTATTGAGCTCTACAAAATGGTTTGGAAAGAAATTGCAAAATTTTATGTTTTCAGGGTGAAAAATTAGAAAACCCCATTTTTACCCCATAAAACCCCCCATAAACCTATGTTCCCATAGTCCGATCATGCTGGTTCGCGAACTTGTTCGAATAAATGTTACACGTTTATGCCAAATTTCATCAAAATCGGATCATTTTTGCTCGAGTTATCGCGCTAACGGACACATATATAAATATATATATATATATGAATTTGAACGGATGGTGTTTTTGGCCTCTGGGGACCTCAAAACGAAAAACTAAATCGGTCCCGTGTCCAGGTCTTACCATGAGACCTACGGTAATAGCTTATTCCCTATATGGGAAATTCACTAATAGGGACACATGCAATATTCACTATTAACTTATATTGCTACAGTATTTATTTGGCAAAACTGATATCTAAATCCATTGTGATTATCGATTGTTACAATAGAAGTTTGGATTTCGTTTAGATTTGGTTGTACATATATATTGAATCGTCAAACTTTTAAGTTTGATAAAACAATGGTTTTTTAGCCTACATTTTTTGGAGTCATTTTGTTTTGCCTCTTTTGGCTGGGTTAGGTTAGTTTCTTTGAATTAAACAAGTTATATATGGTACCCTTTGAATGGAAACATTAAATATGTGACTACAGAAAGTAGAACAGCCATATAACTTACTGTAGATTGATAGGATCAAAATAGTTTTGGTTTAATCTTACTAATATTATAAATCTGAAAGTTTTGAGTTTGTGTGTATGTTTGTGTGTTGCTCAATCACGCATAAACTACTGGACGGATTGGGCTGAAATTTGGCACGATGATAGCTCACATTCCCTATTAACATTTAGGCATATTCTATCTCAAAAATCCTTTCGGGCTACGCCCCAGTGGGTCTGTAGTTCCCCATATTAACCTTATGAGTATTCATATTTAAAGGGAATTAAAGAATTTAGTCAGCTTTTTCAACTTTACAAGTTGGTTCTATATGCAATAGCATTAAAAAGTTATAAGGTTTCCCAACAGGGTGCAGCACTATTATCATTTTGTTTGTGCATATATGACAACAGCTAATTTGAACTAAGCAAGCAGCAACAAAAAGCTGTGATACACAATGAGAACTGTCAAAGTAGGATTGTTTACAGTTAGGTTTGAGTTTTTAATTTAATGGCTAATTTGTGATATTGTGTGAATGTTTGATAATTTATTTTATTCTATTGTTTAGGTGCAATGGTAGAACATTATGGCAATGGTAGATGTGTTATACTATATCATAGGCTACCATAAATTTATGAACCAAATTTTATCAAACTGTGTCCTCCTCCAATTGCAAACGCAAAGCTTGAGTATAACTGCAATAAGCATTGTATACTTAGGCCTATATGCCAACCCGAACCCCGGACGGGTGCTCTGCTAGTAAATAACTTAGCCAACAATTAATTAAGTAGAATGATATCAAAGGTTCACCTTATTTACTTAAAAAAAATCAACTATTCACCTTTTGAATGTCAGTAAAAAAATGTGATAAAAGGAGACACATTTATTTCCCTTTGATACCCTTATCAATAAAATCATTTTGTGAGAATGTTGGACTGTTGGACAAGTAAACATTTAACCCGAGGTGTTCAAATTATCTTAATGTTCATCTCACTTTTATCACCTATCCCAACTTGCAACGGAACTACCAATCGGTAGGTAGCCTAACGAATATATTAATTCTGGTAGACATCGGTTTACTCTTTAACATATGGTATCGACTTTGCAAAATAATTGATTGAAGTGATCAAACTTAGTTTACAGGGCCTAAAACAAAGAGTTCTACTTTGACAAACCTTTCAATTAAGTTAACAGTTTGTTTTGTTACTGATGAGGTTTATGTAACCTAGACCTACTTCGTTGTAAGTTTAAGGCCGCAGTAAGCTAACGTTTATGAATAAGTTACGCTTGTCACCTAGCGTACAGTTGGTGGCTAAAGATCCATTTAATTGCTATTTTCCACACAGGCACAAGACTGTATAAAATTTATGTGAGCACAAAACAAGGCATGAGCAAAAAAAGTTGAGGATAAGTTAGCTTGGGGGGATTCAAAAACAAAATAGAAAAAAGTGAAACAGCATTATAGGCTAGGTGACTGTGGTTATGGTTTCTGGTTAGTGGTAATCTTTTGTAAAATTTTGCTAAAAACAGGCTTTTAATTTTTTTTTACGTATATTAAACTTTAGCTGTTTTAAACAGCCTAATATACAAATCAGCTGGCAAAAGCATATCGCCCACCCCATTGAACATGTTATTTTAAGTGCCAATAAAGCCTGAGTTCAATTTATAACCCCGACACAAAATAAGACTATCAAAGCTATAACTAAATTAAATTGGTATATCATTACAGTATTGTATTATACTAGTAAAAGTCATAATACACGTTATAACAGACCAGAAAGACGTATGTGCGCACATTATTGATTGAAAATTGCAATCAGCTGTCAGGGATAAACAAAGCGATCTCCTACCTTGTCTCAAGATTTTCTTGCTGACTAAAACTGTGTTTTCTTCCGCACTCAAGAATTTTCTTTTTCTCCCAACCTTCTTCAGTTTTTACCCATTCCTCTCCTGGAGAACGCCAATCTTTGGAAATAAATGGCATACTTCACAGGCAAGAATCTTTACACAACACTAGCCACTGGCAACACAGAGAGAGACTGATTTTCTGTTCCACTGTTTTGCTATTTTCTCATTGGCCCGCTTCCCCCAGAACTTCTTCTTTGCGCATGGCTTTGTTGACGTTCTTCCAATCAGCTGACGGCCTGGAAACAAAGAGGTTTCCCCTGATAAACAGTGCTTGCTCTGCCATCTAACAGAGATAGAAGTAACTATTCGTGGTCAGTTTCATAAATCGCCACTAGGGTCAGGTAAATCGAGGTAATTACACAAACAATAACAATGCATTCAGTAAACATGTACAGTAAGTTATGCTCAATGATAATTTCTAAACAACTTCAAAATGATGAGTTGCAATGGAAATGAGAGATTTTAAATGAAAATTTATAGTATATAATGACTTTTGCCTGTATTTACATTCGCAGTAATCTTGTTTCTGATTAGTAAATGACACATTTAACTTTTCAACAGTTTTCAGTTCTTGACCAAATAGGAGGCGATCCCAGTGGCGGATCCAGAGGGGGTCGAAGGGGGCGACCGTCCCCCTCGGGCATACATATACATATATTTTTTACTGCATGTAATACAGTAGTGCATACGAATTGCGTAAAGTAATTTGTCATACTAACTTTGGACAAAGAATTGTATAAAACTGCCATTTTGGAGACGTAGTTTACCGGTACACACGTTTTTCGGCAAAGCCTGATTCGCCCCCCCACCCTTGTGGCTGTTATAGATCTGCCACTGGGCGATCCTTGTTAAAATGTAGAAAATCGTAATAACCAACGATTTTCATTTCAGGATTATGAAATGTTGAAGAATGAAGACTTTACTAATACTCATAAAGTAATTGTGTTTGAAAATAAAAATTTCAACTAGGCCTAATATTAAAATGTAATAAACTATTTAAACTGAATTTGAAAACAAAAAGTCCTATAAAATACGATAAAAAATAGCACCATCTTCCTGAAACATCTATATGTTTGGATTTTACATTAAATCATATAAAAACAATCCAAATATTTTACCTATATAAGTTCTAAATGTACCTATATTAACAAAATCCTAACTTACCATAATATTTTACGCACACTACACACTGTTTTAACGAACTTCCCATGCAATCTAGAGAACAGCTGTTTGCCGCCAGCTTAATCAAATGGCGTTTCTTTACGTACTTACTGTACTGAGTTTGTATCCGGACACTAACCAGCTAGCTAATGGATTATGTTGGATGTGGATTTTTTGGATTTATCAATATCTACCTATGCTATTATCAAATATTTTGATAACAATTGTCCATCCATATTTTAAAATCAAATTGGACAAAGAAATAAGATTCAGTGTTAGTTTAGGTCGTTTAGGTAGGTCGTTTAGGTAGGTCGTTAGGTTACATGTCAGCATTAGACTCGCCTGCTAAAAAGCATAAAAAGCTACCATGAAATGAAATAATTATTTCTAGGCCTATATAGACAGACAATGTCAATGCATGTAATAATGTCCATGAAAAGAAATGATTTGATTTGAGATCGTATCGAGTTCGAGCCCGAGCGAGCTATTTATTTCAATGAAATGGACCACGGCCACCTAGGACGAATGGACTAGAGCACAGCCACCTCTCGGCCGCCTTAAGCTGGGTTTTCCTAGACGCGGAGTCGGCCAGCGGAGAGAGGAACGCGGAGAGCGGACTCAGCTGGCAATTTAATGTTACTGTTTTCCTAGCAGCGGAGCGGAATGCCATCGCCATGTTAATTTCAATTCCGCTCTCCGCGTTCCTCTCTCCGCTGGCCGACTCCGCTGCTAGGAAAACCCAGCTTTTTAGGGACCTAGGACTAGAAATATTCACTAGGACTAGAGTCGAGTCGAGACTGAAAGTTTTGGTTGGGTTTATAGACTGGAAACTGGAAGTTGAGGTTATGTGTGTTGGTTTGGTTGAGTAATGGAAATACTTTGACAAATTGTAATAATATTGTTTTTTTTGCGTAAAGATTAATATACTGCATTTTTGTGGACTAAACACGTTTAATGTAATGTAGAATGAATTCGTTCTATTGAAACTCGCAATACAGTTAAGGAGTAAGAAGGCATATCTCGTAACCTTTTGACAGCCCTATAAACAAGGTAATTTAGGCTACAATACTAAATAAGTTACATTTTATCAGAAAATAAGTTAGTTTTCATTATTCTCAACCTACTTAATGGCAACCATGTCATTTGCACATTGTTTTATGTGTAGGCCTAACAACTACGGAAGGTCAAATTCTGTTAAAACATAGGCCTAACTTATTTACCGATTCAATGACTGGGCTATGCTAATATCGATTGAAACGATCGATTCGATTAGTAAACTTTCATGCGATTTTTTCACCATCAGCAAGTTTGGTTCGTTAGGTTAGATTATGATACCGGTAGTTTAATTTTATAATAGGGCCTAGATATATTAAAAAATAATGATTATTATACAATAATTTCAATATGATAGTTTCAATCGATATTAGCATAGCCCAGTTAAGAAACTGTACCCAGTTTATTTAGGGCTAAAAAAGTTACTTTAATAACTTTACTTACCTACTTACTTGATACTTACTTTGATACTTTGTTTACTTTTTACTTGATTAACTTAAGTAACTTACTTATACAATGAGTGAGTGGTTGGGACAATGAGCTGTTGCATCTCAATTATTGGGCACAATCAGCGAGAGGCTACAAATGAAACACATTACCTCTCTTTTACGTTGAGTAGTGATTGTTAGTTATAAAAAAACGGTCGTAGGTAAACTATGTAGTGAAGGCTATGCAACTCGTATAATTAGGCCTAGCCTTTATAACACTCGCCTAGGCTCATACCTTAAATTTTCTAAACTCACTGGCTTAAAGACTACCTATCTTTAACTTACGTGATCGTTGGGTTTAAACCACTAAGGATCCACATGTCACTTATAAGGTTCTAAAAACACTTTCAAACTATTCTTTGACATCAACACTAGGCCTACAACTTCGTTAAGTACCTACCTTTTTTGGGGGGAGATACTTTGTTCCATTACTCAATACCGTATATCAGCAATAAGTTAAGTTAACCCCAACTCACTAGGGACCAGTGGGAATTAGGGGTTTTGAGTGGGGGAGACATGAATGTGGTTAATCATTGAGAGGAAAGGTTACTTAGTTGGGGAAAAGTGTAATTTGGCAGGAATGGGTAGGCTAGGCCCTACTTGGTTGCGAGGAAAGGTAGGTTAAAAATTCCCGAAATAGGGGAAATTTATCTTGAAATCGGGAAATTTAGTTAACCAACCTAAACCCCAGGTGTTGGAGCACTGCCGTTGTTTGGCTTGGTTTGTTGAAGTGTTACTTCTGGTCTCTGGTTACGTACACCTACGTGGAGCAGTGACCGGAAGTCAGTAGGCTATTGCGAAGCCATTGGAATTCAAACTTTTATTTTATATTGCTTCCAACGGTCCAAACAAACCTATATCTATATACTATATCTAAGGGTCGAGCCAAACATGCAATGGGACTTATGTCTTAACTACTTAGGCTAAATAGGAATAACTTTACAACAAGAACAAACTAAAAAACCCTGAGCAAATGAAGACTAACAATGATAGCTTAAATCTTAGTAAATAGTTAACATTGAACATAGTTTTGTAGTCTAATAAATACCGGTAACAAAAATAACACTAACAATAATAATAAATAACAATAGTAATAAATAAATAAACTGATATATTAAACTTGTAACTTGGAGACAACAAATCGATGCAGTGCCTTACAGTCCAACAAGTAACAACCTTTGTTTAACGATTCGCCTCTGGTGTAGAAGAGATCACCCTGGTGATATCATCCGGTAAGCTGTTGGCCAAGAGTTGGATGCGAGGAAAAACTGTCACAATCTAAGCAACGGTTTTGAGATCTTAATTAGGCTTGTGCGAAGGGCAGGTCAGGGTGTATACCAGGGTTACCACCTTAGGTCAGGAAAAATCGGGACATTGCCCCCACCCTCCCGGATTAACATGGGCTTAAATACGGGTATAAGGAACCAAAATCGGGACGGGTGGCAACCCTGGTTTATACAGATTTGTGGCGTAAATATTTTGTAGTAAGGTTAGATTAGGAAGGTGTTTAATTGTGTTATATCCATTAGGTTTTTAGCTAAGCTATTGCAGTATTTGGTTAAACAACTAGTTACTTAACTATTTAGAAAATGCTTGCATTTTAGGTTTTAAAGTTAGTTGGATGGAGTGGTATCACAGTTTCCCCACCAACAAAATGTCTTTCAAAATGGAAACACTTACTCTGATAACTCATTTTCAGAACTAAAACCTTGGTGATGGCTGATGATCAGATGCGCAAAGTAGATTTTGTGAAAGACAAGAAGCTGTTAAATGCTGCAACTCAGGAGTGGATTAAATTAGTTGAAAAACAAAACATTGAACGAGTAGAGAAATTGAGGAAGATACGCAAGAAAAACATCATTACATCCTTGTTCTTGGGAGGTGGTGTGTTAGCAATTTACGCTTACACCATTCTATCTGTCAAGCAAGAAACTTTCCTAGACGACTTTGAAGTCCCTCAAATTGTTCCAAAGAAGGAGGAAAACTAGTTGTAAGAACTATTAATTGTAAAGACGAATCAAAAGTTTGCTTTTTATCTCTTTTTATTTACTATCCAAAATGAATAAGGCCTTGATTAAACCGAATAGGCTACAGTTGCCTCCTCTTCCAACCATAAAAGATATTATTAAATTGTATAAGCTACGAGCTCTCAAACAGCTGTCCCAAAACTTCCTGTTGGACATGAGATTGACCGACAAGATTGTACGAGCAGCCGGCAACATTCGACTTGGAGAGGTGATGGAGGTTGGGCCAGGACCAGGGGGAATCACAAGATCAATCATTGCTCGGAATCCTGACAAAATTATTTTAATTGAGAAAGACCCTCGTTTTTTACCACCACTTCAGGTAAGCCAAGACTAAATGTATGAATGATTACCTAATTTCTTTTCACTGTAGGATTATTTCTCTGTACATTACAAGTGACTAGCCTCGATTTATTGTGGAATTGAACATGTCATCTTTGATGGTTAATGCACAATTTATTGAATTCGAGTAGATCTATATCAAAATGTTTAAATAGTGGCTTTATTCCCATTTTATTTTATGATGATGTAGGCTATATCATGCCTTTAAATAATCTGCCCGTGATAGGCCTAAATAAATTAGGGGTTTGCGGTAAAGAAAATTTAAAGGCCGGTACGGTACAATATTTTGAATGAAGATAAAACTAGTGTTTTAATTTTCAAATTGAGAAATTCAACCACTGGAACAGAAACTACTGCCTCGCCCACAAATGTAGTAAAGTTTTTAGGGATATATTTGGATAGTAAACTACAATGGACAGAACATATTAATTTTCTAAACAAAAAACTTAGTCCAACAAGATATGCTTTAAGTGTTTTAATTCAGGTTACCTCCTTGGAAGTATGTAAAAATGTTTATTATGCTTATGTGTACTCTATTTTAAGCTGTATTACATTATGGGGGACAGCCACAGATGTCCACAAAGTTTTTAAAAAACAAAAGTCAATAATCAGAACTCTTGCAAATTGCCCCAAAAAAACATCATGTAGACAATTGTTTCAAAATTTTAAAATTTTAACTCTAACTTCAATATACGTTTTTGAAATTTTAAAAATGGTTCATGGAAATCCTGGTATGTTTCAAAATTATCTTAGTAATCACTCATATAATACCCGAAGACAAGACATTTTTCAATACCCCACTCATAATTTAAAAAAATATGAAACAAGTCCTCTCTATATGGGGTTAAAAATTTACAATAAAATTCCAAACTCCTTAAAGCAATTAAACTTAGCAAAATTTACAGGCAAAATCAAAACAGTTTTAGTAGAAAAAGCATATTACACTCTTGAGGAATTTTTCAACGACTCCTGGTAACAGACACCCAATCTCTCATCAACCTCTCCTAACATAAACAGTTCCACCATGCTGTAGCTTTGTAGGGGTAACTTACTGGCTAAATCCTAGGTTTTTTATATACCTATTTAGATTTACTTATTTATTAGAAACCTTGACAATGTACCTGTCTGTGTATTACATTTGTAATAACTCTAACAGATGTTATGTGCAATAAAGAATTGTCATTTGTCATTTGTCATTTGTCATATTTTGGATAAGTTAGTTAAACAAACAAAAGAATTAAATTGATTTTTAAAATAAAATTGCAGATGTTGGCGGAGGCAAGTCCAATGCCTATGAAGGTTTACCAAGGAGACATATTAACATTCAACATGGAGAAGATGTTTAGCACTGAGCTGCAGAGAGAGTGGAGTGAACGGTCACCAAACATCCACCTCATCGGAAACCTCCCGTTCAGCGTGTCTACTCGACTCATCATATTGTGGCTCCGAGATATTAGCGAGAGGTTGGCTAATAGATTCATATTATATCAGGCGCGTTGTAGATTAAACTTAGGCCTTGTAGATTTGTTATCATCATGGATTATGAAAATTATACAAGTCTATTTCATGTAGAGGGTTATTTTCTTAAACTATTTGTTCCTCGGTTTTTATCTTATTTTAACTTTAAAAAATCATCCAACTATAAACAATACCCTGTTCTGTGATCAAACATCAAAGAAGAAATGAATTGTGAAAGAAAATCTACCCCAAAATCAAATAGACACATTAGGTGAAATCAGCAGATATGTGTAACTAAACACCCACATCATGAAACCCACATAAAATGGCCAATAACTGTGTTAGGCCTATTAAAAAAAATTATGAAATGTATAAAAATCAGATGAAATATATTTCAACGTAGAACTTAGTTAAACAATTTCTTCTGACATTGCAAATCTTAATCACACAAGCATATCACCTCTAGAATGATCAGACCTTTGTTGTAATGTTAGGAGGAACGCCTGGAAGTACGGACGAGTGCCGATGACACTGACTTTCCAGAAGGAGGTGGCAGAGAGGATCGTGGCTCCCATCTTGAGTCCTCGGAGATGCAGACTCAGTGTCATGTGTCAGAACTGGTGCTACGTACAGCACAAGTTTGACATACCAGGTAAACTTAAATTCTTGGAGTTTAAAATGTAATTCTATCATTGGTCCTTGATTTTCACAAATATATCACATATCTTTAAACACACTGACACTGGTTTAACAATTCTGATTTACAACTAGTGGAGGCTGAGAGCTAATTTTTCAATTTTATAAAGATAATTAAAAGGCTTGAACAAATGAATAGGTAGGTTTAAATATGTTGCAGGCGTTCAAATCATTAGGGTAGTTGTGGTCTATCAAAGCAAATTTAGTACTTATACATATTTTAAATACATTGTAAACAAGTATTTCGAATATAAATTCTTGAATTATTAAACAATGCATTCTTTTTTGGATTAATTTAAATAATACAGTTCAACATTTACATTAACTAACCATAACTATAAAGTATTTAACATGGAGTAAATGGAGAGGGGAGTAAGGATCCATATATATATCATACTAGCTGTAACCCGCGGGCTTTTTCCCGTTTAACTTCTTAATTTTCAAGATGATAAATTGATATAATCTGTTATGTACATCTAGAGTATTTCCATAATCTTTGAGTCGAAACTTTTAAAGTAATTAGAAATTATGACTGTTATTCGTTTTAAAATAACGCCTGTAATACTTAGCAATTGCTCGAATTCGAGCAACAGGGACACTAGTACTTATTTAATACGCAAGCAGATTTTTTGTGACAATTACTCCTCCGAAACTACTGAACCGATTGACATGTTTTTGGTATCATTGGAAAGAGCGTAACGTGAAGTTGTGCAGGAAACTTTCTTTTTATGGAAATAATTAAAGAGTGAGGCCCTGGGGTCCTTTAAAGTTTCGTATTTCTCCATAAGATTAACATGGGAAACAAAAATTGTTATGAAACTCCAGCTGTTGTCAGAAATTAAAAGTGAGAAGAAGAACATATTATGTTAATTGAAAACAGCCAATAAGATTGCTAATTTAACAGTTTATTTGAACTTGGGGTGTAAATATTACAATGGAAAAAAGATAGAGAGCCTGGATAAATTGATATAATCTGTTATGTACATCTAGAGTATTTCCATAATCTTTGAGTCGAAACTTTTAAAGTAATTAGAAATTATGACTGTTATTCGTTTTAAAATAACGCCTGTAATACTTAGCAATTGCTCGAATTCGAGCAACAGGGACACTAGTACTTATTTAATACGCAAGCAGATTTTTTGTGACAATTACTCCTCCGAAACTACTGAACCGATTGACATGTTTTTGGTATCATTGGAAAGAGCGTAACGTGAAGTTGTGCAGGAAACTTTCTTTTTATGGAAATAATTAAAGAGTGAGGCCCTGGGGTCCTTTAAAGTTTCGTATTTCTCCATAAGATTAACATGGGAAACAAAAATTGTTATGAAACTCTAGCTGTTGTCAGAAATTAAAAGTGAGAAGAAGAACATATTATGTTAATTGAAAACAGCCAATAAGATTGCTAATTTAACAGTTTATTTGAACTTGGGGTGTAAATATTACAATGGAAAAAAGATAGAGAGCCTGGATAAATTGATATAATCTGTTATGTACATCTAGAGTATTTCCATAATCTTTGAGTCGAAACTTTTAAAGTAATTAGAAATTATGACTGTTATTCGTTTTAAAATAACGCCTGTAATACTTAGCAATTGCTCGAATTCGAGCAACAGGGACACTAGTACTTATTTAATACGCAAGCAGATTTTTTGTGACAATTACTCCTCCGAAACTACTGAACCGATTGACATGTTTTTGGTGTCATTGGAAAGAGCGTAACAAGAAGTTGTGCAGGAAACTTTCTTTTTAGGGGAATAATTAGAGAGTGAGACCCTGGGGCCCGTTTTGTATTTCTCCATTAAGATTAACATGGGAAACAAACATTGTTATGAAACTCCAGTTGTTGTCAGAAATTATAAGTGAAAAGAAGAACATATGTTAGTTGTAAACAGTCAATAAGTTTGCTAATTTAACAGTTTGCTACAAGAATTTACTGACTTGGTTGAAATGAAATATTTACTATTTGAATTTGGGTTGGTGTAAATATTACAATGGAACAAGCGAGAGAGCCTGGATAAATTGATATACTAAAAAGAAAACTGAAATAACACTGCATTTCTTAGTAATCATCAAAAGAACCGATTTGCAAACTATGGAAAGTCATAGAACACCACCAAGAAGAAGATATAGAAATAATGTTTTTTTTTTTAGAATTTATAATCGTTATTATGGTTAACCTAATGCGACTATGAGTATGGCTATTTTTTGTAGAAACACTAAGAAACGAGATCAGCTTTTGAAAAATGATAAGATATATACAAGAAATGTTGAATATATCGATCTGTTATGTACATCTTGAGTATTTGTATTTCCATAATCTTTGGGTCGAATCTTTTAAAGTCAACAGCAATTATGACTGTTATTCGTTTTTAAATAACACAGCTGTAATACTAAGCAATTGCTCGAATTCGAGCAACAGGGACACTAGTTTACAATAAACTTTCTCATTCAGGTTAGCCTGCTATAAATTATCGCCAGGAATGTTAACTGAGACGGACATATGATCAACTAGTGAGTTTGGAGCAGAATCTTATACTTAGATAATATAGTCAATGAGTGTAATCTAGTCTGCTTTCCCTAGAGAATTAGGCTTAGCTCTGTGAAGAGTAAATTTTGACACGCATACATTGGTTTATTGTGTGTCTCTCTACGCTCGTGGCAATTACTAACGATTTTATTAAAGGGAAAGGTCCTAACTCTAGTCTTGTTACAATCTGAAGCCGACCTGTTTTTAGAAAGTATCATTAATCGATAACTCAGTGCTAGTGACAAAAAAATGGCATCTGGGTCTGGTAACAATCTCGCTTATATTGAACCAGCGACCTTCAGATTTGAAGACTAGTACTATAACCGCTCTTCTACCCAGACAATGTCAAATTTGTAATCACCGTTTTTTTTTTTTTCACTTTATGCTGCAACTTTTTACGTTAAGTTTACAAAGATGACGGACTATAAAAGCTATGCTGCTGTATATATATATTATTTAATATATATATTTGACTCCAGGTTCAGCGTTTCTACCTAAGCCAGATGTGGACGTCGGAGTGGTGCATCTTGTCCCACTGGAGGAACCGGTCATCAATCTGCCATTCCCTCTTGTGGAGAAGGTTGTAAGAGGCATATTCTCATTCCGTCAGAAGCACTGCATCAAATGCCTGCAGTAAGTATTTCAAAGCAGTTGAATCCAAAGATCGCCTCCTGTGATCCTTAAAGTATGGTACGTTTCAAATGTAAAAAAAACGGTTTTATTAGTACTTGACAAACCCTTTTGTAAGATATATTTCCTCGATAAATACAGTTTCAAGATACATCAGACTAATTATTGAAATGGAAAAGGCAATTTCAAGATAATAATGAACTATGGTTTTAAATAATCTAAGGATGTGATGTCATTAGTTAATCAGTGTTTACACAAAGCCAGTAGGTGGACAGGTTACCTGACTCTTGTAACTTGAAATTGAAATACACTAGAGGCAAAGTAACCTGCCTACTCTACTGGCCTCTGTAAAAGTGGCTTGTGCAACTTCAGCCAGTAGTTATCAGAAAATGTTGTTAGATTAATTGAGTTGTAAATTTTACTCATTAGAAGGGGGTGGATGAAAGATCCCAGAAAAAAAAACTACAATTTTCCTAAGTTAGAGGTAGTAAATTAACCTTTTGATTACTTTCTCAGGACACTGTTTCCGAAAGGTACACATGAGCGATTGATGCCAGAGATGTTCGAGAAAGCAGAAATCAGCCCAAAAACTCGGCCTTACCAGTTGACGGTCCCAGAGATCGGACGGCTTTGTCACATCTACCATGAGATAATTCAGAGGGAACCTACGTTAGCCAGGTACAACAACCGTCAACCTAAGTCTATGCTGGAAGACGAGGAAACTGACCTTGAAGATTCAGACGAGGAAACTCACAATCTATAGTTTAGTGTACAGTACATATTGTTTAGTTATGTCTTCAAATATATTTGTTTGTTGGACGTTTTGTTTACTCCTTTTTTTATCTCTGGGTAGATATTTTAAATTTTGCATACCATGAAATACTGATTTCATCGCAAAACTCTGGTACATATGAAATGCAGTTTTTTTATATTTAAGAAAGCCATTAAAATCCCCAATCAATCTACTTTTTTCAATTGCTCTTGTTGACTTATCTTTTGTTGCATTTTATGGAAATAATTGTTGACCTAGCACAAAATTTAAACTCTTGGCGTAGGCTAACAAATAACTGGGTTGTAATTTTGTCAGAAACAAAAAATAACCTAAAACCAACAGCGAGTAAAAAAACCCAAACCATATTAAACGATAAAATTGCATACCGATATAAATTGCAACCGACACATCATGAAATAATAAAGATAAACTTTTTTCCAAAACGTCAACCAAATACTCAGTTATATTATAGATGCCTCATGAAGGAACAATCCCATAAACGTTCCTCCATATCAAAGCTATAATATAATCCTAAGACACGAGTGTCCATTGGTGTAAAGATTGGATGTCCAACTCAGTATCCAAATTCATAATTATTAAAACCTAATTAAATTTCTGTTTAAATGAATTGCCACATAAATTCAAGTTTAATGTAGTCCAATAAACAAAAACTATTATTAAACTCTGGATTTAGATTGTTTGTTCTCCTATTTCCGTTTGTTGCTGTTCCTGGTGTGATTGTTTGTTGGTTGATGCTGGCCAATCTGATGTTGGCTGCTGGCCAGTGTTCCTACGTCACGGGGATGTCAGTCAGTTTGATTTACGATGATTAATCTTCTCAGTTCTGGCAGACATGTTGGAGCCAGTGTGACCAGGAAAGTACACTGACTCTGAGTCGAAATTACTGAAACAGTCGCAAAAATTAATTTAGATTTTGAAAATATTTTCCTTTGAAGTTATTATGGAGCAGAAATAAAATGTTTGGCCTAATGGAGTGCACACAGGTTATGAGTTACTACTAGTCATTAAAGCTACTGAATACAGATTTTACTAGTGGATCAGTGGGTCGTCAGAAGTCACTAAAAACTCAACTCCTGCCACTTAATTTTTTACCCAAAGGATAAGAATAGCCAAGCCCCACAATGCATTTATTGAAAAGACCTGTTTTTTTTATATTTTTTTTTATATGCCAAGTGTTGTATATTTCAACAGTATGGCCAAAAAGTGACTCTTTTTAGACTGAGCACAAGTTAGGCCTCGGTTGGGAAATGGACAAGGGTTGAAAAAGATACTCCTGTCTAGTGTGATTAACTACATTTTATGTCTTTACCATTCTTAATACTAAATAGCTTACAAAATGTATAACAATTTTTTTTTAAACCAAAGAGATTATTATAAAAATTTTTAAAAAACCCGCTGAAAAGTTTTACAAGTTTGTGTATAAACAACAAATAGTAATTCACTGTTTAATGAGGCAGGAAGTTTAAATGTGTTTAGCGTTCTCCCAATAGCAGATGCAGAACTGTTAATTTATCTCACTTGGCAGCCAAGTTTGCCTGACGTCAAACGGAAAGATAAAAGAAGTGCTAACTGTTGGAAAATCCCATCTTGATGTTTGATCATTCTTCAGTGGCGAAAAGTGACTATGTGTACAAACGTTCTGTTCATGATTCCTTTTACCAGATTGATGACTTGTGATTTATTTGATTAACAGTTGTGATAAAAGAACTTGTGCAAACTATTGGAAACTTTCATCTTGGTGTTTGTATGTTGATGTTGATGTTCCATGATTCTCAGCTGGCTCAAAGTGCCCATGCGTACAAACGTCCTGTGCAAATGTTCCATTCATGATTTCTCTCACAAAACTATTGTTACCTTGTGATTATTTTTGTCATAATTTAGATAAGAGAATTTGTCCAAACTATTGGAAACTCCTATCTCGATGTTTGAACATACAAACATCGAAAATGTTGAAAGGCTTTTTTACGGAACAAAACTGATTTACCAGACAAAAATGGTTGTCCAAGCTGTTAAAAATTTGAAACCCATAGATTCTTAATGGATTTTATGTTGCACATTCTTACAAATTCTGTTATGTTTTTTCTTTCATGAACAATAAATAACAATTTTCAGTGGGTACACACACAGTAAAATTAATTAAAAAGTAGCAAAATGCTAGAACTGAAATATAACTCACTCCAACCATCCCATCCGTCAACATCCGCCCTACAGATTCCCAACAGATTACAGATTATTTAGTTGGACTGCTCTCCCTAAGCATTCTCTCAGAGAAATGAACTCTCTACAAATTGCACACCAGATCGGTGAACTGGCCGAAACAAAATTAAAACCCATCTACGGTGCTGTCACTTGGTACACAAACAACACTGGTTAACCCACAGCCCATAGTATACTACTTCCAAACTTCTAGTTTACAAAAATTTTAATTATGTCACCTTGTATTTTGTTGTGAAATTTTTAAAGATTTCATGTGACAGAAACTGTCATTCACTTAAGTTCATTAATGTATCTTATATTTTCCACATGTTTTAAATTTTAATATTTTTACTTTGTATAAAGTATTGTTTTCGCCACAATTTTTGAGTTGTGGGTAGATATATGTCCACCTGAGTCCATAAAAATGGGTTTCGAAGTGATGTCCTTGTGTAGTAAAATCAGATAAAAAACAGCTTGAACAAATTTGATTAAGATTTAGTATGTTATAGACTTCTTTAACTAATAGTATAACCCCCATCGCTGTAAAAAGTATGGTGCAAAAGTGATTGCAACTTATGTGATTTTCCCATGGACTGATTTTGATTGATAATTACTCATTAGTATATTATGGTCCTTTTTCCTTTTAACTCAAAACAAAGTGGTACAACCCCCATTGCTGTCAAAATAACAGTCTAAAAGTTATTGCAACTAGGTAGTTCTGTAATTTTCCTTATAAAATATCATAGTTACTCTCACCGCTTACCCATGATAAGAGTTGTTGACAAGTTAATTAGAGAAAGTATGTGTCAGTTTGTTGAAATCTTATTTTTATTGTTTGTCCATATAAAATTAGAGTTCACAATATTACACATTTCAGTTCCCAAAAAAGGATTTTCTTTCATTTAAAGTATTACCAGCATTAAACAAATATTACACACATTGTATATAATCATTTTTGGATACCTCAATTTGTTTATTTATGTTTTTTTTTTTTTTTTTAGATGGAGAGGCATAAATAAAAACTAGAATGTACAAAACTAGAAAATACATTTATTTACGTTTTATGTACAAATATATTCATCATTTAAACATATTAACAAAATAATTATAAAATCAGTCACAAATCTTTCATTTAACGTATACTCTATTATTCATGTAAATTCTAATAATTATTGCAACATTGTAATCAAACTGTTAGCAAACAACAAGATAAAATGTTTAGTTATACGTTATACTTTTAAGCTATTTCTAATTTAATATTATTATCAAATAATTAATATTTTCTGCCCCAAGAAAAGTGATGTACAAAATATATAAATACTTAACTTATATTTTACATGACATTAGTTAGACATCTTCACATATTCTTACCAAATTGATCTTACTAATTTTGTTTTATCTTGTATATCTTAACATATAAAAAACTCTACTTTGTTAATATTGTACGTGGCTATTTTTAAACTAGATTTTTAAACTAGCTTGACTAACTTTGTTATTCTGAACAAAAATACAGTTTTAATTAGTTATAAACATTGATACAGTCTTAAAATAATAAGCCTACAAATAATTCTTTGGGTAACAAGTTATACTTAACAAAATAACATTTTGTATGTATAGTTATATAAAAAACATACTATAAAACCAAATGAACACAATCCAAGAATAACTGTTAAAACTTAAAAGTATATGAACATAATAAAAAAATAACAAATTTGACAACTAATAAATAAAATAAACCTAATATAGATAATTTCTAACTACCAATATCCCAAAATAGGATGAAAAATGCACTTGCTGTAGGGCCTACTCTATTTTAATTTTTTTGTTATTGTAAGGCCTATGTCATTTTTTTATAAATTCCATGAGTTTTTTTTTTTTTTATTTAAAACGCTGATATGAATTAAACACGAATAAAATGCTGTTTGTAACATAGTGGTAGGTAGTAAATATAGTTGAAGATTTCAATATTTTTTACATATCATATAGATATGGATTTTCCTCTCTATGAGAGTCAGTAAAATATTTTAATTCCATATTCTAGCATTTAGTTGGATAACATAAAAAAAAAATCTAAATCAAGTTGTGTAACTATCGTGAAAAACACCATAAATACTATCCAAACCATCCCTTCCATGCATTTATATTTTATTGTATGGCTTTTTTTACTCACCGCCAATTCAAAGAAAACTAAATCATTACTACTTCAACTAGATTGTAGATGCAGTTCAAATAAAAGAAAAATCTTCAGTACAATATACTTGTGTTGTAATCTATTAGTATAATATTAAAATATACTACAAAATCTCATCTTAGTAGAGCTAAATCCAAAGCGGTGATACATTAAAATTTTGCTTCACTCTGAAAACTGGGAAAACCACAAGGAAGAGCAAAGAGTTATCGAATGGTAATCATTAACAATATGATCTGTAGTCTAATTCTTGCACCAAAAGATGCATCGTCATTTTAATTTCCTGTAGTATATCCACCATTAATAATAGTCATGGTCCCAAAAAAATTGGACTCTTAAAACTGAAAGTTTCACTCTACACTTCAACTGTCCACAACTGTTACAACTCATGGAGTTTGTGACAAGAATGGCTCTTGGCTATCCTTAGTTTGCTGAGAAGTCCTCGGAAGCTCGCGGAAGTTTTGGATCCTCGGTATTTGCGCCGTTTTCCCCGCTCTTGTCCTGATCTGTCTGCTCCAGTCCGGAATCTAATCTGCGCCAGTAGTCCTACCAACAACTCGTCTACGTTGTGGTTGATGACTACACTCACCTCGCTGTACTTACAGTTACAAGCTGTAGCTAGGATGCGACCCTCTGTGAACAAAAATTTTTATTAACTTTGGGAAAGTTATCATGTGACATTCCAATGATAAAACTACACGGTATTTTTAAAAGTTAAGGTGTTGCAACATCTGTTTGAGCTTTTATAAATGACCCTGGAAAATAAACAGCTGATTGGGATCAAAGCATCATGGATAATTTAACTTCATTCCACACTCAACTTTCATTTATATATAAAATACCCATTCACGTTATGTTGTTTTAAAAAGTAATGATAATGATATAGTTAAATAAACGCATGGACTATAGTTGAAAAATTTAAATATTCAAACCTAAGTTGCTTTGTAACAACCAGTTTTTAGAATAGGGTAAATAAAAATAAATATTAACATCCCCTACAATCTTGCAGTTAATTGTGATAAGGAAAAGAAAATGAGAGGAATAGGTAGATGATAATGAAAACTTGGGGGTGAGGGATGTGGAGGAAATATGAGTGAGATAAATGATATTTTGGAGTAGGAAGAAGAACTGTGGTACAGGGCAGAAGATGGGGTCACTCAGGTTGTGGAATAACAAGAATATAATAGGTAGGTAATTGTGTTGGCTTAGGTGTGGTTTAAACGTTAAAAGTATTAGGTAAAGATTAAATCACAGCTTCACCTAGTACAAAAGGTCAAAGTAGCCAGGGGTAGCTTTACCCATACCCTCCATTAATAAACTTTTCCTGGACCTTCAAATTCAGGAAAATATGTTATATCATATTTTACCCTTTGCACGTGACACTATTAACTCTGAAGATTAATAAATTGGGTTGATTTAGAGTATTAGTTGAATATATAGGATATTTTAGTTCCGTAATGTTACTCACCCTGTTCTGAGACCAGACGTGAGCGAGCCAAGTCTATTTTGTTGGCCACTAGTATGATCGCTCGGCCATCTGCCGCCCCAGCAGTGACCAGTGTCTCCAGTACTCTCTGTGCTCGGACAAAACTGGCCCTGTCAGTCACGGAGTAGACGACCACCAACCCACGCATCCACCTCCAGTTGGACTTGTCCTGCAAACAAAACAACTTTGGATTGAGTCGTTAATTTGAATCAACAATATATTATGAGTGGTTGAATTTGTTGTGTTAATGAATGAAAATTTTCACCTAGTTGTTGATTTAAAAACTACTGTATTACAGAATATGTCTGTGTTCAGAGAATATTCTATAGCTTTTAAACCCCCAAAATAGTCAACCAAGTAGCTATAGTTGGTTTAGTGTTATTTATTTCAAGTCTAAAACAACAAATTTTACTAAGTAAGTTACTTTCTGTCTTCTTTTTCCATGCCATTTTCAGATTATCAGTGTTGTAGAAATAAGAGGGTAACTGCGCAAAACCATCTTTTTTGTAACTCTGTAAAAGAAACAGAGTCTGTATTTGACTATTAAGTAGGTTAAACATTGCTCTAATTTATTTGCTTGTCCCTTTATGAAAATACCCCCGCCGCAGCAAACCTGACGCCTAAGCGAATTTCCATTTGGCTGAATTGATTTCCAATTGATCTATTTAAATAACATTAGGTTTAACGAGTACCTAGGTTTGCTGCTACAAAGGAAACTAATAAAGTGTGTGTTTTAAGTAAAATAATTATTGCTTAGTATAAAATGAATATATTTGCCAAGTTTGATCAAAAGATATCCATAAACAAGCAAACTACAACATTTTACAATATTCTCCATAAGAATAACATGGGAATTTTAAATTTACCATTTTTTTAGTTTACTCCGTAACCAATAACCGTACAAAAACACTTTGATATACTGAATTGTTTGTTTTTTTAAGCTCTTTAAGAAGGTTTAGAGAAAAATTGGGAAATTTTGTGTTTTGAGGGTCAAAATTGAGAAAAACCAATTTTTACCCCATAAAACCCTGTTCCCATGGTCCGATCATGCTGGATCGCGAACTCATTCAAGTTTATCCCGCCTTACACCTTCAAACCAAATTTCATCAAAATCGGATAAAAATTACTCAAGTTATCGTGTTCACGGACACATATATATATATATCTAATATATAAAATTATCGTGTCACAGTGTTTGTCTGCAAACTCCTCCGGAACGACTTCACCGATCGTTATGAAATTTGGTGTGTAAATTCTGTAGGTATGCGAATCGGACGTAAACTATTTCCCGTTTCGAAATTCTTAAAAGGGCTCCGCCCCAGTGGCTCTGGAGTTTCCCATGTTAACCTTATGAGAAATGGAATTAATGAATCTTAACAGCTGTTTCAATTAAACAAGTTGGTTCTGTTCTATGATGTTCAATAGCATTAAAGTTACAAGGATTACCAACAGGGTGCAGCACTATTATTTCTTTTACATTTATGACAACAGCTAATTTGCAACCAAAAGGTGAGTGAGCGTAGCGAACGAACTTCAACCTGGAGGCGAGTGAGCGTAGCGAACGAGCTAACCCTAAGGCAAGTGAGCGCAGCGAACGAGCTCCAACCTAAAGGTGAGTGAACGTAGCGAACGAGCTCCAATCCAAAGGTCAAATCAAATCAAATCAAATCAAAACATTCTTTATTCATTATAGTTTCACATTACATGAACTTGAATAGAGTCATAAGCTAAATTCAAAATTGCTTACTGCTAATTAAATACATAAAAAGAGTACAAAAATTACTTTACTTGAACTTTTAACAAAACCATGACTTTAAGGATAACAGTATTTGGAATTCAAATTAAGTTAGGCCTAACTGTTTTTTACTAATACTAAAGAATTCTGTTACTGAGTAGCAGGGAGTTCTTAAAAAATATTCCTTTAAGAGCTTCTTGAATTTATTAAATTTTGTTTCTTTTCGGATGTGAGCTGGTATAGACTGGAGAAATTTTAGCCCTATGTAAGATGTCTTTTTAGTGTAAAATTTGAGATTATGCCGAGGTAGGTTAATTTTTAATCTGGTGTTATATACTAATTGTTCTGTTGAGCTGGATGATAGTTGGATCTGTTTTGCATAAATTATTGTTTCATAAATATAAAGACTATGAACTGTTAATATTTGTAATTCACGAAAGATGCTCTTGACTGGCTCTTTCTTTTTAAGATTTTTCATCACCCTGATAGCTTTTTTCTGTTTAATTAGTACTTTATCTAAATTAGTTTTTGTTGTTGCCCCGTATAGAACAATTCCATATGAAATATGTGAATGTATTAATGAGAAATAAACAACTCTTAAAGTGTCTAAACTGCATACTCTGAACATCTGTCGCAGCGCATGGATACCGGAAGATACCTTTTTAACCACATAGTTCACATGGCCCTCCCAAGATAGATGTTTATCGATAATTAGACCAAGAAATTTTGTTTGCTTTACTTGGTTTATTCTTTCTGATTTTATGCAAATGTTTGGTTCAAAATTTTGTCTACGTTGTTTAGTGGAAAATGATATAAAATTGGATTTTTCTGTGTTAATAAGCAGATTTTTTCGGTCAAGGAATTCTTTTATGGATAAAAGACTCTCCTGAGAAAACGTTTCAATCTGTTGTTTTGATCTTCCGGGAATAAGCACATTACAATCATCAGCAAACAGACACATAGACCCGCCGTTACCAGGAATCGCTCCTGGCATACCTCTAATATAGCAGAGAAAAAGTAGAGGCCCCAGGATCGATCCCTGCGGCACCCCATATTTCAGCGTCTGATGCTGAGATCTACATTTTTCAACGTACTTTGTGTTTGCATGCTCCACAACATAATCCAGTTCAACAAATTGGTTTCTGTTTTCTAGATATGATGTAAACCATGCAAGCTCTTTTCCATAGATTCCCATTTCTTTTAGTGAAGTCAACAATGTACTATGTGACACGCTGTCAAATGCCCTACTAAGATCCAAAAAGATTCCTACAACATTTTCTCCTCTGTCAACAGCATTTATTATAGTTTCTATGAATTCAATACCAGCTGTTATTGCTGATTTGCCCTGCCGAAAGCCATGTTGTTCTTTATCAAATAGTTGATTATTTTCCAGATATTTATAGACCTGAATGTAAACAATGCGTTCAAAAATTTTTGAAAAAACAGGTAAGAGAGAGATAGGGCGGTAACAGGAGGGATCAGTTTTATTACCTTTTTTAAAAATGGGAATTACTTTAGCCAATTTTAATTTTGAAGGAAAGATTCCTGAAATAAGAGAAGAGTTTATGATATGTGTTAGTGGTTTCTGGATAATGTGTATTGATTTTTTAACTATGGTGATTGGAATTTCATCAAAACCTGCAGAGTACTTGTTTTCAAAGGAAAGGACCACTTTAGTGAGGTGTTCTTCCGTTATTGTGTGAAACTTAAATGACTTATCTGTAGGTAAAATATTTTTCTGGATATCTGTTTTTTGTGTAAGTGAAGGAGAAATGTGTGGCAATATAAGCTTTTCCACAGCTGATACAAAGAAATTATTTAAGTTGTTACTGACAGCTACTGGATGCTTAAGGAGTTTACCATTTTGCTCTATACATATCGGTATGTTGCTGGTAAAATCACTTTTTGAGTTAAGCTTTATTTCACTTTTAATTATGTTCCACGTTGCCTTAGTTTTATTAGAAGAGTGTTTTATTTTCTCATTATAAAATGTTTGTTTGGCTTGGTGTATTGATTCTTTTAGTTCCTTTTTCTTAACCTTTATCTTTTGATATGTGTCAAAATTTTGTCTTATCCTACCTAGCTTTTCCAGTTCATTTATCTCACTCTTTTTTTTAAATAACTCCTTTGAATTCCATTTACATTTACTATATCCACTATCTGCACTTAAAACTTTGGGAAAATTAACATCAAAAATGTAACTAAAAATAGAAAAAAATGCATCATACTTTTTATCTACAGATGACTGGTAAACATCATACCAAGTCTCATTGCCTAAATCACTGAGAAAGGTTTTTAAGTTATTCTCTGTAAATTTTCTGTGCCTTTTCTTTGTTTTCTTTTTATTCTTACTTTTTAAATCCACAATTTCAAGAAGTTGTGCATCGTGATCAGACACATGAGTAATGATTCCGGTTACAATTAATTGCACATGATCTATATTAGTGATAATATTGTCTATTGCTGATCTAGTTTTCAGTGTAACCCTAGTAGGAAAATTTACTTTATATGACATATTATACATTCTCAAAATGCTCAAAAATCTATAATACAATAATACCTAAGGTGAGTGAGCGTAGCGAACGAACTTCAACCAGGACGTGATTGAGTGATGCGAACGAGAGAGGCGAGTGAGCGTAGCGAACGAGCTAACCTGAAGGCAAGTGAGCGCAGCGAACGAGCTCCAACCTAAAGGTGAGTGAGCGTAGCGAACGAGCTCCAACCCAAAGGTGAGTGAGCGTAGCGAACGAACTTCAACCAGGACGTGATTGAGCGATGCGAACGAGATCATCTTGAAAATTAAACCTAACGGTACTTTCTTTCCATCGGTCTGTCTTAGGGGAAACCTATAACTTAAGCGATACGAAGTTCGCCGGGTCAGCTAGTATATATATATATATATATATATATACATATATAAAAATTTGAACGAGTGGTGTTTTTGGCCTCTGGGGACATCAAAATGAAAAAGTAAATCGGTCCCGGGCCTAAGTCTTACCATGAGACCTACGGTAATAGCTACTTCCCTATAGGGAAATTCGCTAAAAACCGCAAAAAATGCAACTGATAGTATTTTACATTTGAATCTTCTCTGAAAATAAAAAAATGAGAACTTAGAAGCCAATTATCTAAAATAATTTCCTCTGCTAATTCTAAACCATACCGGTAACCATTTTTTTTTTTTATGTGTTGTTAGTTGGAGGATTGTTTACCTCGACAACGTTGTCCCTCATTGGAGTAAATGTAAGTTCTGATTCTTCCCCATCAAGAAGCACTGATACTGTCCTCTCTTCATCGTCACCTGCAACAAGTTAGATAGTTAGACAATTGTTTAGCCAATCTTCTTACAAAAATCTGAAAACAACAAAACAAGTACAGCCGGGTTAAGCTTCAAACCTAAAAAACCATCTGACATCTTCTAGAATCAATGAAGACTACATTACTTATCGGTTGCTATGGCAAGCACATATCCACTCAACTACTCAGTCATAGTAAGACTTAATTCTCAATATTATTGCTGATCAATTTTATGTTGAACTCTTAACGATAGCAATGCTTTGAAAACCAATCAACTAAGGCAGGAGCTTAATTAGTTTAAATCTTAGCTAACTAAACAGGTTACTTACTGGTTGAGTGTTTGAAACTAGTTTACTTAATACTTACAATTGCCCTGGTCAAAGCCGTGTAGATAGCGGTACTCGGATGTCATGAACTGAGAGATGAGTGAGTTCTTGCCTACAGACGACGCTCCGATGACGGCCACCTCGTAGGCACCCTGCAGAGTTGCCTGGGGCACGGGCGACCTGCGCGGGGGCGAATCCACCTCACCCCTGCGGCGACAAAGATTATTAGGTATACCTTTTACTGTTGGATAATAACATATTGTACATTTTATCTTGGTTATTGTCCACGAGTACATGCTCCGAGGAGGAGTAGGGAGTCAAAGAGAAGCAAGACGCCACAGTAAACATCGACTGTAATGGTATTGTACATTTGATCATTAAATCTAATGTTGATATGGTTTTTTTCCTAATTTAATCTGTATAAAGTTAAAAGAAGAAAGATAATTGGAACTCCTCATTCCCATGACTTCATTAAATCGCCTTCTTCCAATAACAATGCTTAAAATGAATAGATTGGTAAATTAAGTTTGTACTGTACTTTTTGGTGTGATATTTGCTTAGTAGTAAGTTAATAATGTTTAGTCATCAATTACAATTACTGCTGTTTGAATATCAATTATCAAAATACCCACGCCACAGCAAACCTGCAGAATAAGCCAATTTCCATTTACCTGGCTGGATTTCTACTAAAATATTCTAATAATTCTAATTTTGCCTACAAGTTTCTCAAATAATAAAGTTCTCTAATTATGTGATTCCAACACTCACCCTGATGACTCCATTGATGTGACACTGTGACCACTGGTTGACCTTTTGACCTTGAAAGAGTCACCTCTGTTGACCACCTTCCTCCCAGAGATAGAAAAATGGCGGACTGTACAATACTCTTCCCCTTCACCGCTAAAAAGAATAAAAATTAATTTATTAGTTGTCTTTTAGAGAGTAAAACAGTTTGATATAGGATACATTTGAAAATAATTGATTGAATCAAAATAGAAGATTAATTGAATTGACTATGATGATTAGATGATTATAACTAGCTCATCCTTGGTGCAAAAAAAAGTGAATTATGGTTAAAATGGAGGAGTGATGAACTAGAGTACTTTGTGAGATCAAAAAAGTACAGTAGAACCTTGATAATAAGACTCTCATAGGGATTGTAAAATAAGACTTGTTATCAAGTTGACTTCTTATTAAGGTTTGGAATAACATGTGATTAGGGGTAAAAGAATTTTAAGAGGACTTGAAAATGACACTTTTTGTCAAGGGCAACTTTTTTATCGAGGGTCTTCTTATCAAGGTTCCACTGTATGTGTGTTCATTAAATGTAATTACCATATTTGTATATAAGATTTATGATTAAAAAAATAAATTTATATGACATTTTTTATGCAATGTCTTTTGTTTTGGCTAAACAATATTTTAAAATTTAAATTTTATTACCTGAAATAACATCTGAATATAGATAGGCTACACATTTGAAAATAATTGATTGAATCAAAATAGGAGATAACTGAATTGACTATGATGATTATAACCAGCTGAACCAGCTCATCCTTGGTGCAATAAAATAGTCAATAGTGTAGACAAATTAGCAGTATTTCAAGTGAATTATGGTTAAAATTGTGGAGTGATGAACTAGAGTATCAAAAAAAGTATACTTGTGTTCATTAAATGAAATTACCATATTTGTATACAAGATTTATGATAAAAAATAAATTTAAATGACATCTGTTGATGCAATGTCATTTGTTTTGGCTAAAAATATTTTCAAATTTTAATTGTAGTATGAAATAACATCTGAATATCAAACATCCTTGCATTTAGTCAGGTTTATGTTTGACGGAACATCACCCAATAACATATTCTATAATAACATTACTGTATGTACTTATCATAAATTACAAATATCAGGTGCATAATAATTATTGTATTAGAAATCGACAACTCATATTTCGAACAAAATGTAAATGCATATTGTATATTCATTGTTTAAGACAAATTTTTAAATTAATTACAGCATTGAAACATGTCTGGGAGTGCGAGGTGCTGACAAAAAGTTACCTCCCCGGCCGGGAATCGAACCCGGGTCTCCCGCGTGACAGGCGGGGATACTGACCACTATACTACCGAGGACTTGATCATCGGCTGCTGAAATTTTACTCATAGCATAGCATTTGCTAAAATGGATTTAAAGCCAAATTTATAAAATGTAGAAATTGTAGTAAGAATATTAAAATATTAGAATTGTAGTGAAATGCCGTCACTGCGATCCTGATATTATGTAGGATGTATGTTAAATTTGTTGGAGTAATTAAATTATAACAGTTAATTAATCGTTCGGAATAACTTTCAGCTTTCATTCTATGAATTAATGGACTTCCTTTACGTATAAGTACAGTACGTTGTATTTGAGATAGAGATACAATATAGCATTAGTGAACACAACAACACACTACTACTACTGTATTAAATTTATACTTTATACATGGACAATGGCTTTGGATGTTGAAATAGTTACAATATTTTCAAAGTACAGAATGATTTATGTTTAAATAAACAAACTTCACTGTTAAGAAAAGTACTTCTATGTGCTCTAAAATGCTATTTATCCAACAACAACAAAGGCATAAGTTAATGAACGGAAACCGAGCAAGTTTATTTCCAGAGCGAACCTTGTAACCGTCAGAAGTCGCTGGATTTATTTCAACAGACTTCAAAGTGGTCGTTTCCTTCATTATTTCGAGCTAGGCCTATTTACACTTTTAGCATCATCGCAAGACGAATCGTCGCGACGTTAGCTGTCTTTGTAATTGGCCAGCTTTGGTAGGCTTTGATGACCAATCGCTAATCAGCTGTTCTGTCAGTCAGATGTTCCGACCTATCCCAACAGCTGTTTTGGCCGTCTGCCAAACAGGACAGTTCGTCGCTTCGTTGCTTCCTGGGGTTCTATTGAGTAGATTGCGAAAGATTCGCTGGGAATAGATTTTGTTTCTGCTCCCATTCGTATTTATGACCCGTGTCAACGTACGGTTCTTGAGCCTATTTTTGTTTTGTTGTGCAATGCTTGGTTTGAGCGTATTGACAAATACTGTATATTAGTAACTTGAGTATTCTTTGTTGAGAGTCCTGCAATCCTTTGGGCTAAAATATTGAATTCTCTGTTCCCTGTTTGACTTGTCGAAAAAGTATCCCCAGTGGGTTTGGGTAATTGCATATTATATATTGTTTACATTTCGATATAGGCGTTATAGCGGCGCAAAACAAATGAGATCTTCATGCCCGACCATATTCTGAGATGTCAAGATTGTGATCGTGATCAAAATAAACAAATTTTGTATTAAAAAAACAACAGATGATTAGCTAATATGAAAACGAAATTTATTAATTTACTATATTCTATCCAATGCCATATAAATCATGGGTACTGTACCGTACTTGGTACTTGGACGATTAATACGTCAAACGTGACGTATAAACATATGCTCTTTAATTTGGAAACACCATAGATTAAAACTACTTCCTTATAAAGATTTGTCATAATTTTATCGCTTATAAAACAGTTTTAAGACAGTTTACCTGTCCGGTATGTTAGATTATAAAATATAGGACGAGAAGACTATCCTACTATACTATACTATACTTGCGCAATATCCAATAAGTCATAATAATAACCCCCGTAGCAGTTGTTTTCATTACTGATGGTAACTTTATGTGTTTAACTTAATTTTTGGTTTATCTTAAATAGATTGATTCCCGATTCTCTTTACAGTATCTACTTACTACGTCAAGGACATGGAAAATTAATTTGTTTACAAATAGTTGTGTTTGGTTACAACAGTTTATAATTTATAATTTTGTAAAATACTGTACAATGAAAATAATCATGAAACATTGAAACGGTATTAGCAAATTGAACAGAGATAAACTAACAATCCTTCTTTAATATTGTAATCAGCTGATTCAACAGGGTAACTAATCTATTTATCAGGGAGTGTATGCAATCATAGATAAAACATCTATGACGCAATCTTGCGCATTCAAATGTAACCAAACATGGACACGCATCAAAACAAGACTGCATGTGTTTACGTTTACAATAGGATCAGAAAATCTCTTTGGTATCCAAAGTCCATGGCCTGGTATTATCGGAATCTGAATCTGTAACAACCCTTTTATCTGTACAGTAGCATCACTCAGACAATAAACTTTACTTTCCTCATAGTTAATTGTCGTCGTTGGGACGATTTGTCTCCGAAATGAGTCAGTGTTTATTTGGACTCTATTCCTTGGATCAGTCATTACTGTTATTTTATTATATGTCTTGTGATACATCTCTGAGCATTTTCCTACGATAAAGACATCTAAAACTCGATTTAAAAATTGTTAATGACAATTTTTGGGAATTCCTTTTATATTTTCCTACGTATTAATTTTCTCCTTTTTTAACGGGTAAATTACGACTGTTTGAAAACAAAATGGGACAAAAATTATGTGAGATCAGCCTCGAAATTAGCAAAAATTCAAAATGGAACAAACAGAATAAATTGACTGTACAGTAGGTAAACAAACGACTTCCATGTGAAGTTTATATCTGGACAGTAAACAAAACTGCAAACAATCAAGATGTGATGGCGAGTGTGTTTACAAAGATACAGTGAACACTACACAGTGGTCGCTGATGACGTCAAAAGTGCATGTGTGTGTGTGAAGTGTGTGTGAGCAAGTGTTCTGAAAGCTAATGAAAATAACTGATTTGAAAGGAACCATAACAGATAGTGTTTTATTTGAATGCAGCCATCCAAATGTTGCGTTTCTGAAACCTTAGACATTTTTTGTGTTTTATCGTTTAATGTTAACAAATTTAACTACAGTACAAACATTTTGTTGTATTGACTTTGGGCACAACTGCATTTAGCAAATCGCGGTGGCATTGGATGCTTCCTATGGATCTATGAGATGTGATAAAATTCTTATTCATTGTAAAATCTGAAGGGTGTTTTGAAGTGAGTTTCATGATTGAATTCAAGTGCGATGATGTTGACTTGTTTTCCTCTTATTTTAGAAAATATTTCTGGAAATCGCTTAACTCTTTGTTTAAAATGAGGGCAAGCAAGAGTTTTAAAAATTAAACTTTCTTTGGTGTTAAAATTTGTAACATAATAGAAAATTTAAATATCAAAATGTACTGTAGCGAGACATTCTGTATGACGGGTTTCAGTGAACGTATCAGTTCTACGATTTTCGGAATGGTAAACTACCATAATTTTAGACCTAATATGGATCTTCTATATAAGTTCCGCGGAGCTGTTAAGAAATACAGAAATTTTGTTGTATTCTCGCTAGAGAAATTTTTCTCTTTTTATGTGCACTTGACTGAGGAAAGTTGCCGGGAGTAAAATCTACTGACTCAGTATTTTTTTCGATTTAAAAATCCCCTACAGGAACTCTGCCCATAAGGCTTTCGAGGTTACTGTGGTACGTTTCTGTGTATTAATTTATTGATTGGTTTCTAAAACTTAATTGTAATACGTCTATTTATTTTATGCTTGTGCCATAAGTTAAAAAATTGTAAAATCCGGAAAGACAGTTCTTACTAAAAAGAAGTATGGAAAAAGATCATGTCAAATTACTACCTGGTAGGTATCCGATTCGAAAAATTTGCTTCAATGGGACTTACTTTAATTACAAATTTTAAACAGAAAATTTAAGCAGGGTGAGTGGATTGCAGGGAATGATCTCTGTAGCTTTGCTGCTAAAGACGTTTCTTCAAAGTCCAATGATTAAGGTCAGAATTTTTCCAGTTTCTAAACATCGAAATCTCCTGATTTTCTCAAGCTCGAGCCGAAAATTATCTGGTTCTCGGATGAACACGAATTAAAACCCATAACCCTCATCTACTTGTATTAACTCCAATATAACATTGATAATGTCCTTAAAATTGGAGGTTATCTGAACATCTACAATATGTAAGTAGGAATTAAGGAAACCCGTTTCATCAGGTCTGTAGTAAACGTAGTAAAGTCTGCTGCACTTATAACACGATAACAATGCAGTATGTAACATGAATTATTTTGAGCAAGTTGTACAATACAAACGTATAAGTGTCGTTATCACAAAGAGTCAACAGTTAAAAAGGTTAACTTAAAAGTTTCTCCTTGAAAAGTTACATTTTCTGCACGTCTCAATTATGTATAAACTGGCGCAAATGATTATGCTTTTTCAAACAACTCATTCTAAATCTAATTCTTGCTTAGTATAACACTGCAATTTAAACAAAAACACAAATAATATCAATCTTATTCTACCTTTTCAAAAAGTGTTTCATACTTAAGTTAAATTTTTATCTTTGTTACCGTTGAAAATTAATTGTTGTTGTGTTAATATTTTAAAATTGGCAGCTGTTATCTGTTTACAATATGCATACAGTGTTTGACATAATGAGTAATCAATTATAAACACCAACACTTCTAAATAACAATACAGGACAGAATAATGCCTTAACATTTTATATTTATTAGTCACTAGCTGTACCCGCGGGCTTCGCCCCGTTTAGCTTCATAAGTATTTGCATGGCTCATTCACGTCCTGGTTGAAGTTCGTTCGCTACGCTCACTCACCTTTAGGTTGGAGCTCGTTCGCTGCGCTCACATGCCTTCAGGTTAGCTCGTTCGCTACGCTAACTCGCCTCAAGGTTGAAGTTCGTTCGCTACGCTCACTCACCTTTTAGTTGGAAATAAGCTGTTGTCATAAATAAAAAAAAAAATTAATAGTGCTGCACCCTGTTGGTAATCCTTGTAACTTTTATGCTGTTGAACATCATAGAACAGAACCAACTTGTTTAATTGAGACAGCTGTTAAGATTCATTAATTCCTTTTAAATATGAAAAATCATAAGATTAACATGGGAAACTACAGAGCCACTGGGGCGGAGCCCGAAAGGGTCTTTGAGATAAGAATATGCTTTAATGTTAATCGGGAATGTGAGCTATCATCATGCCAAATTTCAGCCCAATCCGTCCAGTAGTTTATGCGTGATTGAGCAACAAACACACACACAAACACACACACAAACATACACACAAACATACACACAAACTCACAAACTTTCAGATTTATAATATTAGTAAGATTCATAAGGATGATCTATAAGTTGTTTACCCTGTACTTTTGTTTACTGATGTAGACAAATTTCTAGTTTTAAAATTTATACTTAACATGGTCGAATAAGCCACTGAGTGTGCTATTGTAAAATTATATTGTGATTTATTTTATTTTATTTTTTTATTTACCAACGGCAATACACCAATTTACAAAGATAATCAGTAGTTAGTGATAATCGGCTAGTAATAAGAATTTAAGTGACTAAAGTATGGAATTAGTTGTCGAGTTGTTCTGTTGGCCAGGCTTCTTTCTGGCTTGGTCAATTTGCATCAGTGCACAGTGCATATGGCAATTCAACTACCTCAACTAGTCTTAACACTTTGTAATATGGAATGTCAAGATCTATCCATAGTCATTTAACAATATGACCTACACATAGTCACACATAAATTAAACTTGATCATAGAAATAAAAAACATAATTATACATTTAGAAACATATATATTACTTACTCCATGTCTAGACTGCCTCGTGTATCCAACAGCTGAGAGATTTCCTTCTTCATGCTCACTCACGGCTGCTACAGCACTGTACTGACTACTGACTGACTGCGGCCGGCCCGCGTGTGTTATATGAGGCACGGCCGTGTAGATTCTGCGTACCCCCCACCCCCCTGGGGCTTCTCTATACACTGATTACTCGTGCTGGGAATACGCTTGGCACCGGGCACCGGTGAAATACGCGTATTAATTGAGTTTAATTGGTTTGAGTTTTAACTAATTTGATTTAAAAGTTTTTCAATCCATGCAACTTAATTCAATGTTTGCAAAACTTGGGTCTACTTATGATAAGTGATATTATGCTAGACACAGAGAGTCTATATTTTATTTCATACGGCATACACAATGTTTACAAACATCATAACGGAAATCCAAGATGGCATACATCTACAATAACACTAACTTATGCAATGAAATGGTAAACACAAAATGGTACGTAACATAAATAGTAGTTTTTTTGTGACATGGCATGATTTTATATCGTCATATAAGCATGATAAGTTGCCAAGTATTTTGAACATTGAAAAGATACGTTTCAAATTCATTGGCATTAGCGTAGATATATATACACCGATGGGCATTTTTTAATATTTATTTTGTTTACTTCTGCTGAGTTGGTTTTTATCGTTTTATCTGTTGAGCCATTTAAACAGTTAAATTTGACTTTTCTACTATGAAATAGGGAAACCGCAAAAATTAAGAAATTTACGAAAACCAGAGTATGTGCGTAAATATTCCAAACAATTTCTTGGAAAATAATGTTTTATTTTTATGAGTTGATTGATTTTATATCGTTTTATTGATTAGCACGCACCAGCGATTTAACATTATTTCTGAGACTGGCTATTATTAAGCCTACTCTGTTGGTCACTTTTGCAGAGCTTGGTGAGCTTGGTCCGCCAGCCATTGCAGGGACGTGCCGCGTGCGGTCAGCTGTTTATAAACACATTGTTTATCAAGTCTCGACACTTAGCAATAAAGTTTTGGCGAGTCGTTTGGCAACAACGGCAACAGAATAGAAAGGTCAATGTCGCTCTTTTAAAGAAATGAATGGACGGAAATAATGTAGTTTTCAACTTTCAAAGATCGTTTACGTACATTTTTACGTGTAGAATAACATTTAAGTAAGCCATTTACAGGTGGGTTTTGTTTACTTCAATACAACTGATCGTGATTTATCATTAAGCCAGTACGCAATGTTAACATTTGGATTACTACTTATTTGCCAGTCAATTCAGCAATGTACTGTACGGGGCCAGAATCCAATTGCCCGTATTGCGCCAGAGAGTCCAGGTAGCAGGCCCGTACTGCGCCAGCACTATAATCTACCACCCAAAATCAGACCTGTACTGCGCCAGAGCGGCTTTTTCTTTGTAATAATAGTTCTGAGAGAAACTGCCCTATTAATGAGTCTGAGAGTTCATTTAGCGTTATATAAACACTCTGTGACTTATCCTACTAATATTATATAACTAAACTATTATATATCCTAATATATAATATATATATATAACAAATTCGTTTTAGTTCAACAGTTTGTAACTTGAGACCGGCTGGATCGATTTTAATGATTTCTGATTTGTTTTATTCGAGCTTGATTCGAAGTTGATTTTTCAGAGCCAGATAATTAATTTAGTTTCCTCAATGCTGTTAGGCAACTTAGATTTCTTTTGGAACCCGAAAAGTTCCACTTATTAATTTATGCTAGGCCATGATGGTCATGGCTTTATTACGTAGCAAAATCCCATTAGTTATTGGAAGAATTTGAACCTGGGACCTTGCGGACTAAAGCCCCGCGCTTTGCCACGATATCATCCCTCACATAAAGATATTCAGAGCGAATTAAACAAATCAGTAGGGAAATATTTTTTCCGTTAATTTCGCAACATATCTAAGCGTTTAAACTATTCAATAAATAGCTTAATTTTATCCAGCTTTTTTGTCTGATGGATCAGATTTTTCGAAAATTTACTAGCAACTGGCCTAATACTCAACTAGTCTTACTCAACTTAAAAATTAAAAAAAAAATTGGTAAAATTTGACTAATGCCACAACAAACCTTAAGAGGATTGAACCACTTCCCCTTCTACGCATTCTTTATTCTTTTAGTTATTGCATAAAAAATGCCCCCGGCGTAAATAAGACACAATTGACCGAAAGTCTACTTATAATAATTACATGTTAATTTCAGGCAAGATAGGAGAACCCTCATATATACTCTCTTGAGCACTAGGGTCTCACCAGTAAGGAATATTTTACTTTTCTATATTTGTTCACAAGTGTGCAGTTATCATAGTACCGCGTAGGTGTGTGTATGTTTTGCCTCTCAATTTATTCCAAATCCACCTCCTTATTTCACATTTGTATTAATCTCTTTACAAAAAATTTTCCTTAACGTCGTGACGACAATGTCTTTAGTTTTAAACACATCTATCTATCTATATATACAGTATAATTCTGTAAGACCAAATTTTTACCAGAAAATTGAGGACGTCTGGTAAGTCGCAGAAACGTGGGAGGGGCCTTAAATAAAAGGTCTTGACCCCAGGGACTCGGGAAAAATAGCAGAATCCCCATAAAGTTACCAGAAAATGAGATATAAAGTAAAATATCCACCATAAGAAATGCATGGTGACTGAAAAACGTCTGCATTCTATCAGCGGTTACTTATTTATTTGCAATGTTTACATTTATTCCGAAAGTCAATGTTGGTAAATAATGTTTCAAAATGAATTGTGTTTAATTTTTTTTGTTTTCCGTTTTATAATGACTAATGAGTGAAGTAACTAGACAGGGTAGGGGAAGACTTGCAAGACGTGAAAGAGTGTCCAGGAATTCAACATACTTAAGAAATGCCAAAGAGAACGTCATGTAGGGCCTAATTGTGAAAGAAATCCAGAACCTGTTTTACAACCTGTCTTTAGAAGAACGCTGGAAAATGAGTTGAGTGTTGTTTCTCACAATCTATGTCCTCTTAAAGCACTTGCATGTATTGTGGCGCATTTAACTTCGCAGAGGAGGCCACAAATGGACATTTCAACGCATGTTGCCACAATGGACATGCCACAACCACAAGTAAATGACGAACTAAAATAACTGTTTTTACATGATTCGAAAATAATAAAAAACATAAGGCAATACAACAGTACAATGGCTTTTGCGTCGCTTTGCGCTACACAAAAAGAGATTCCGGGAAATGGGCCTTACTGTCAGGGACAAATTCATAGATATATTTCTGACTTACTACCGCGAAATGGGGAGTTGCCATCATAATAATCAATAATAATTTTAACCTTTACATTTGGTTCTCAAAATGGAAACTATAACATAGTTCGTAAGATTACAAAACAAATCTTCAATTTCAAACTAAAAAAGATGTACAATGTTTGGCTGTATGATTTCAGCTCTGATTCGTCGTTCTCCGGGCTCAGGCCAATTCGTGTGCACGTTTCCATTTGTTAATATAGTATGTTGTGTTATTGATTTAATCATTATTTTACAATTGTATTTCATTGACACATCAGAAGCAACTAATATACGACTCCAACGGAAGGAAACCCAAGATATAAAACCAGAAACACTGTTAAATTTAAGTACCGGTAACATAAAATTGATAATTTTAAAAACATATTTCGAATATTTGTCTTTTTATATATGTTTTTTTTTTTACTGTAGTCTAAATTAGGGGCTATGGCCCCTACAGGCCACTAGTCTTGTGATTAAATCAAGAAGATGTTGTAATTCACTTATTGTATTACGAAATACTTACGTTGCTGGTTTTGAATTGTCAATTAGAAAACAAATGTGAAGTTTTCATTGGAATAATTACTTTTTATATACCGAAACGAATACAAAAATTCAGAGAGCACAGTACAAATTATATTATTGTCTCTTGAGTTTTCTTTACTATGGTGATGACATTGACAAGAAGTTATAGTTCCAACATGTTTTCCTGAATTGGCTAGGTTAAAAAGTACTGCAGTTAAAATGACACAAATCAAATTATGGACAGCAGTACACTCTCAGGCTGATATTAGGTTGTCGGTTTGATTCAATTTAATTTGATAATGCGAATTTTATTCCAAGAGTATGCTATTTGTTTTGTGCTAGACTAAAACAATACCTCGATACTATATTGAAACGCATATATTTCATTTTTCGAATACAAATTAAGGTTCAACTTGAATTTTCCATAAGGTTCTAGGATTTTCAAAGTTCTTGAAAGGAGCTTTCTCTAGACGCTATACACACCATGTATAGTTTGGCAAACCTCTCATTTATTTCCCAACAATCCGTTGTATGTACGGTACAGGCCCAGTTGTCGACCCACCTAGTGACTGTGATGGCTCAAGAAATATTTCTTCTCTGGTTCATTTAGGTGTTTCCGTTGAAATTGAGGATCATTCAATAGAACTGCAATGTCCGATTACAAAGCCATCTTGGGAAAATCATTTACACAGTAAGAAGTTAGCAGTACGCAAGTACATCTACTGTAGTAGTTAGCATCTACTGTTTAATCTTCTAAATTAACACAGTTTTCACTGGGGACACACTTTATGTAGGATATTATAATTTCAATGCTACTGCGCTTTGAAATATTAAGAATTAAACTTATATGGATTTACAGAACCTGTCAGTAGTTCTAATTGTAAAATTTGTGATTGTTTGCCTGTTCTGTTTGTTCATGAAATGCCAATCGTACCACCACTATTAAACTACTACACTAAAAAAATTAAACTATTAAACTACACTATCAAAGATTTATCATTGTTAGTCAACATTGCTCAGATTTTAGTTGTTGTTCTTGTTGTCTTGTCAAGTTCTCTCATTAAGTATATTCTAAGCCCCTTTGCATGTTTGGCTTGACCCTTAGTTATAGGAACATTGAGTAAGCATTATATAAAAAAATAATTGTAAATTGGTTTGTTTGGACCGTTGGAAGCAAAATAAAATAAAATAAACATTTTGTTGCATTTGTCGTGTTAAATATGTGTTGTAAAGTTTAAATTTACCATAGAAAAGCAACTCAAGTGTTATTAACATGCTTACTGGAAGGCG